AATATGCCCTAAAGAAAGAAGACTAAGAGCCATGACTCAAACAGATGTGTGCACACCCATGTTTACTGTTGTGTTATTTGTAATAGCCAGGAGATGGAAGCAGCCCAACTGCCTGTCAACAAATGAATGGCTAGAAAAAATAAGGAATATTATGCAGCACTGAAAAACAATGGAGTTATAAAACATTACACGACATGGATGAGTTTGGAAGACATTATGTTGAGTGAAAAATCTGTGTCAAAAAAAGACAAATACTGCATAAGAGCATAGTTATAAAACAGGATTGATATGGGTGGGGGTAGTAAAAGAGAAGATAGTGGACATTGAACTGTAACAAATGAATGAAAGGATTTTCCAAAAGGAATGTATGACAGTTAACAATCAGGAACAAGAATTTCATTAAAAAGTGAATTGGGATGGGGGAAAGGAAGGAGAAGGAGGAAAAAGTGCATCAACAAATGAATGAAAACTCACTCAGCTTGTAAGCTTTCATTAAAATCATACTTTAAAAAATATACAGCTTATGCACACCCCTGTTTATTGCTGCTCTGTTCACAATAGCAGAGAGTTGGAAACAATCCAAGTGCTCATCAACAAACGAATGGATAGAGAAGCTGTGGTATACTCACACAATGGAATACTATGCTGCATTGAAAATCAAGGAACTCATGAAGAAGTATACAAAACGGGTGATCCTGGAGGACATTATGCTGAGTGAAATATCTGCCACAAAAGGACAAATTCTGCATAGTGCCACTGTTGTAAAATGTGATGACATCGGGGTTGGGGTGAACCTAAGGAAAAAAGGGGATAATGTATACTGCATTGAAACAGACAAGGGAGAGAACTGTTTAAAGGGAATATATGATTGGATATTATTTTCATGACAATATTCTAGAAAAAGAAATGCATAGTAAAGTGGACTGTGGTGGGGGGGGAGATTGTATAACAATGAAAGAGTTGTTTTTTTTTTTCTTTTCAAAGAGAAAAGCCAACTGGAGGGGATGGGTCGGCAGGGAGGAAAACGTGCAACAACGAATGAATGGGAAAAAAATTAAATGGAAAGAAAATGCTGTAAAAAATATGTTGCATTAAAAAATATTTTCAAAATACTGTACAGGTTAGGAAACTCAGGGGAGGGTCTGTCTTCATGAGTCAGCATCAACTAAGTTAAGTTTCCTTCTTGCAGACCCTGGGTGGTGCAGTGCAGCCCTTGGCTACTATGAGGTTGGCGGTTTGAATTCACTCAGAAGCAGGCAGCTAAGCAGAAAGTTCTAGAGATCTGCTCCAAAAGGTCACCACCTTGAAAACTCCCTGGAGCACAGTACTATTTTGAAACACATGATTGTCATGAGTTAGAAACTACTTGAGGGCAGGTGGTGACTGCTAAGGTGCTGGTTTAAGATCAGTAGCCATCAGTAGACTCACCCATTGACTTACTCATGGCCAAGGAGTCAGAGTGACTCACCTCTGACCCTCCAGCAGGTTCGCCACCCCCACCAGGCTGTAAATTGCATGGGAGACTGTCATCCTTTCTCTCACAAAGCAGCTGCCTTTGTGTTGTTGACAAGTCAACTCTTTACCCACTGGCCACCAGAGCTCACAGCAAACAGTGAACACAACTGCCAAATTTCCTACATTTCTAGAGCTTACACTTAAAGGGAGAAGAACTATAGTTTTATTGTCATAAAAGATAAGTGAAACAAATATTACTTAGTTCAGTGATTCGTGGGCCTCAATGTTGAGAGCCAGCACCTCTTGAAGGGAACCTTAAAAAGCCAGATGAGAGAGTCCATTTCTAAGGTCTTGTCCACAGGGCTTTGACCCAAAGGTTTGAGATAAACCAACTGCTTCTGAGAAAACCAACCAACCATCCAATCAACCCGCTGCAGTGGACACATGGCGGGTGGAACTGCCCCACGGAGTTTTCTTGGACATAATCCTCATGGAAGGAGACCATCTAGCCCTTCTCAGCCACCCCGGATGAGTATGAGCCACTGACTTCTAGGCTGCAAGGAAAGCACAAATTATTTGCGCCACCAGGGAACACATTCTGATACTAGAGATGAGGGAAAGAAAGGCCTTGGCAACTTGGCCACTTCTTTCTGAAAAGAGCCCTGGTGGTGTGGTAGGGTTAAGTGTTGGGCTACTCACCAAAAGTCTGGCTCTTGGAAGTTACCTGCTGCTCTTCATGCCAATGTTAAATTCATAGCTTTGGAACCCAGATGTAGGGTCACCCTGAATTGGAACCAATTATGTTTTTGAGTTTTTTTATGGAAGCAAAAGTTGGGGGTGAATTGCTTTGTTTTTTTAATGTTAAAGAGAAAAGTAAAAATCAAAACTGTTTATTGCTACTTAGTATGTAGTTATTTCCAACATAGAAGCATTTTTTTTTCATATTGTTGTTGTTACGTGCTGTCGAGTTGCTTGCAACTCATAGCAACCCTAACGCACAACAGCCCTGAAATCTGCTCTATCCTGTGTTGACACACCTACCCTCATTATTCCAGTCACTGTATCAATCAATCTCATCAATGGTCTCCCTCTCTTTCTCCGTCTCTCCACCCTTCCAAGTATGATGTCCCTCTCTAAGGACTGGTACCTCTTTGCAACATGCCAAAAGTATGTCAGATAACAAACCAGTTGCCTGCTCAAGGGAGCCTCATGAGTGTTTCTCTTAAAACACTCACACTCACACTCTAGCCTCACAGGGTTTCTAACTTAGGGAAACACATCACCACACTTGTCTTCTGATGTGTCTTCGGAGACACTTGAACATCTAACCTTTAGGCTAACTAACTGCCTAGTGTATGACTGTTATCACTCAGGGACTACAAGCTTAGAGGAGAATAATTAAAAAATGCTTTAAAAATATTAAAATGTCTGCTGATGGGGTTTTTAAAAAAGTTCTAGAAAATGGATGAATTATCATCACTTAACCGGAGGACAGTACACCACTTAGGTATTCCATGTTCCCAGGAACTTCTCAGGCTGTTGTAGTTGGGAATCTCCGGCTAGGAACCCAGCCTGACAATCAAAAGGCACCTAGAAGAAGCCTTAACATTAAACCAAGTGGACAGAAGAAAAAAAGTTTACGTTGAAATCATCAGTACGTAATAAAATAGTATCGTGTGCTTTTAAGAAAAAGTCTGGTATTGTAATCTCGTCAAACAGGGTAGAAAATGGAGGCTCTGAGAGGTGTTCTGCTTGTTCAAGGTCACACGGAGAGGGACTGTGCAAACTTTAACAACCTGGAACCCTCCAGCATACCACTCTTTCAGAGTCCCTTCAACTCACCTCCTTTGGAATGTCTAACAGAGTAGAGATAAAAAAGCAACTTATAAATCATTAACAGGAGAGACAAGCCACTTGGGAGCGTCTTTACCGCCCAGACCGATGAGGGCAGTATTTGGATAGGGCAGCGTTCCGGGTGAGGGGGTGTTTTCTGTCTGCGCGGCTGAGTTCTTCTCTGGGACTGCGCGCCCTGTCCCCGCCCCGAGGCGGTGCCGGAGTGGCCCCGACCCCGGGGCTGCGGATTCCGAGAGGTGGCGGCCGCACCCTCGGTTCTGCTCTCTGGTCCCCGCAGTTCTCCGACCGGTGGCGATCATTATCTCCTGGCCTCGGGGCCGGTCCTAAGGTTTCTTGGCTTCGCCAGGAATTTGAGCCCAGGGCAGAGGACTCCAGAAACCTTTTCTGGAAGGACAGTTGAAAAATCAGATCCCACTTAACAGAGAGCTGGAGATGGAGCCCTCAGACTCGTTTGGCTTAGGCCCCCTAGAATTATCGTTCGCGTCTTACAAAGTTGGTTCTGAAGTTTCGAGGCGCGCGAGTGCGTGCGCCCACGGGGCGAAGGTCACAGGGGTCCTAGTTTGGTGGCCCTGGGGCCCTGCAGTCCTTTGCCCAGCACCGCAAAGATACCGGCAACCTCCTTCCAGCACGCAGAGCCAGGGGCGCACGGCCGGCTGGGACCGGAGCGCGCGCGCCTCCCGGCGGGTCTCTGAAGCTGGGGGGCCACCAGCAGCGTGCAGGATAGGTGGCCGACAGTGTGGCCCAACGTGGTGGGAGGCTCAGGGCCGGCAAGAGAACGTGCGCGTGAGCCAGAATGGGAAGCCTCCCCAACCCCCACCTGTTTGAAAAATCCCAAAGTCAGATTGATCACGTTTCAAAAGTTGCAAACAGTTGAACACTTTCTTTTCCCAAAAAAATGACTTACAGGGCCGCCCGCCACCGAAAGAAAAGGAGTGTGCGAGGGGTGTGTGTTTGGAAAGGGGGTGTAAATAGCGCCGACTGGAGAACGGTTTTAGGACCCAAAGGGAAGCTCATTGGAATCTCGCTCCCCTGGAAGGAGGGGTTGGGCGGGCCAGACAGCAGGCGGCCGCTGGGCGCATGCGCGCGCGTCTCCTCTCGCCGGCCGCTGCGCTTCGCGGCGCGGAATAGAATGAAATGTAACAAAACAAGCCGTGCCTTTGTATCTGCTTAAAGGGGCCGCGCGCCACTTCCCTCCTGACCCCCCCCCCCCCCCCCGCTCCGCTGCCGCGTCTCCAGGGCTCCAAGCAACTGTGCTGGAAGGGCTTCCCTCACTCTTGGGAACAGCCCGCCAGCAAGAAAGACGAGCCGGGAGGGAGGCAAAGAGGAGGCGCCGTATTTCCAAGAGGCAAGAAAGAAAGGAAGGAAGGAAAAAAAAAAAAAAAATACCCCAAGCGGCGCAGAGTGGACTCTCGTCCGGGAGAGCACTCGGCGCCGGAACGTGGACCGAGAGGCACCGGAATGCAAACAAAGCTCGCGGGCGCCGGTGCGGGGCTCGAGGCAAAGCCCGGAAAGTTTGTTTCGTGATGGCTTGAGTGCGAGTGCGCGCAGGGAGCGAGGCTGCCAGGTTCCCCCCTCCGGTGGCGGTACCAGGGAGGTGATGGCTCTCCTATGAGCCCGTGGAGGCTCGGGGGCTCTTGCTGGGGGGCACCTGTCTCTCACTTCAGCTTCTGTTTTTGGACGAGTACCTCATCATGTTGAAAGTGATCCAGAAGAAGAATCACTGGACTAGCAGGGTTCACGAATGCACTGTGAGGCGGGGGCCCCAGGGCGAGCTGGGGGTGGTGGTGCTGGGGGGCGCGGAGAACGGGGAGTTTCCTTATGTCGGAGCGGCGGCGGCCGAGGCGGCGGGGCTTCCCGGCGAGGCCCCGAGGCTGGGCGAAGGGGAGCTGCTTCTTGAGGTGCAGGGCATCCGGGTGGCCGGCTTGCCCCGCTATGACGTGTTGGGAGTCATCGACAGCTGCAAGGAGGCCGTCACCTTCAAAGCCGTCAGACAAGGTAAAACGGGGTGCGCCTCTGGGGCGCCCCAGAAAACTGCGCGGCCTGCGGGGTGTCTCCTTAACCTTGAGTTCCCGCTTTCTTCCTCTCAGAGCAACCAAAAGGGGACACTGAAGCCGTCTGCCCTTGTCGCAGAGATGTACACAAAAGTTGTTGCGCGGTTGTAGTTGTTTGCCCACCTGCGTTTGGAAGTGGGGGGGGGAGGGGTCTGTGTGCGCGCAGGGCATTGGGAGACGTAGCCCAGGCTTGGTTTGCGGGCCGGTTCTCTCGGCCGCCAAGGGCGGCGCAGACTCGCCTGCTGGAAGAGTTGGGGAACTGAGGCAGGGGCGAAGGTGGAACCCTCTCCAGTTCCCTGGGGAAGGGATGCAGCGCGCAGCTGCTGACGTGCTATGCCACTTGTCTGTTTTCAGACCTGAAAAGTGGGCTGGAGGGAAGGAAGGATCCTCCTTTCCCTGGATCCCCTCCGCCAGAAAATCTGCTTCACCACCACGCAACCCCTCTGAACCGAGTGGGCTGTCACCGCCTGGCGGCTCCACAGCCTGAAGGTCCTGTGTTCGCTCACCGGATGACGCATGTGGCCCAGCACCGGGCGGGAGGAGGGTATTTTGCGCTTGGCGGAAATCTAGTCCAAATTTACGCCGTCGTCGTCAGCACCTTATGATAATAGCTACCGTTTTCATCCATGCTTATTGACTGCTGCGCGTTGGGCGCCACTTGCACGATTTCATTCTGATTCACAATTCTGAGTTGTTCTTAAACCTCATTTCAGACATAAGCCTGAAGTGAAGTGGCTTGCCCAAGGTTACACTTCTCCCCAAAGCCGGTGTTAAGCAGTACAGCTTTCAGTATTGAGGAGTGGTTTGGGGGTGAGGGCCCTCAGGGGCCGTGTCTGTGAGTGGACCCCAGTGCTTCCCCAGAAAAAAATCTGTTTTGGAGGGGTCCGTCCCCTCAAGGATGGAAGTTGCACTTGGTTAGAGTGGGTCCTTACATCTTGTCTGGCCAGTAAGTAGCCAGCCCAACTTCAGCCCAGTAGAGAAGCCGGGAGCCCCTTACAGGCATCCCGGTGTGACCAAACACCATGACGCATTTCTCTCCCTGTAAAGGCCCGAGGAGGTGGCAGAGTTGAGCATGCTGAAAAGTTCCCACATGTGCCTGCCTGCGGACAGCAGCTGGAGGAATGTGTCAGAGAAAAAGAGAGCAGGGCTGAGCTTCTCTTGGAAACAGGCTTGCCCCAGATGAAAGGGGAAGGTGTTCGGAGGAGGGGGTCGAGGAGCACTAGGCCTTTTGGCAGCTTTGAGGGCCCAGCGATTGACACCAAGCTAGGGAAAGCTTTGGCTGTTTGTGTCCTCACCTCCACTTGGACAGCCCCTCCAAGAAGCCCTCCAGGGTCCTGCCAGGACCCGCAGGCCCGTTTAATGTACCCTGTGGCTTTTAACTTAGAGATAAGAGTTAGGTCCCTCCCATCGTCGCCCAGGTGGTAAGTACACTCCAGGGAGAGACTGCTTCATTCCTTGCCTTCTCCCAGCCTTTGCTTCAAGAGTCACCCCTTATGAGCACATTTCCTCCTCTCGAAAATAAATGGCTTTCTTTTGGGTCTTATGTAAGCTGGTATATAGAAAGTACACCTGACAAATCCTAAGTGCTGGGTTGGAGTTGGAGCCCTCAGTTGTTTTTAAAGTTAGTGTTTGATGTCTGGGACTTGGATTACACATCAGGACTTGTTACAGTTGTAGAGGATGTTTGATAGGAATGGCCACAGGTCAGGGCTGTTTTGGAGAAGGCATGGGGGAAGAGCAGGCAAGGGTACCTGCTCACCTAGTGGGGTATCTGATGGGCTCCTGCGGACTTGGTTTCAGTGTACAGATGCTGCGTGTAGCTGGTCTCCCCCTTTTCCACTTGTGGTCAAACAGCCAAGAGACATCATCCCAGGGCTGCCTCATTATGAAGTTTAGGAAGGTAACCATGTGGGTTTGGAACTGAGTTCACTGGGAGGATCATAAATGTTCTCTCTCTCTCTGTTTGTGTGTGTGTGTGTGTGTGTGTGTGTGTGTAAGTCAGCCTATTCTTTTTTTAAAAATTTATTGATTTGAATATGCATTGTGTTTCATTCACGTACCTTGTGTTTTACACAATCCTTCATATGCATTATATTTTGTATGAATAATTACCATTGCTCTATGCCTAATGGAAATACTGCTGTGGCAGATCTTAAAGGGCCTGAAATTCATTCTAGTGTCAAAAAGTACTAACCAAATCCCAACATCAAGCCTGCTGTACTGGAGTTGACTCCAACTCCTCTGACTCTGGGGGAGTGAGCTGAACTGTCTGCCTTTCCAGGAGCAGACTGCAATGTTTCTCTCCTGCAACATTTGGTGACTTTGAACCTCCAGACTTGGTGAGAACCCTTAACCACAGTGCCATCAGAGCTCCTTGGAAACTACTGCTTCACATAACACAGAGTCAATAGATTTTTCTAAGGAGCTCAGGTGGCCTAGTGGCAAGGAGTTGCACTGCAATCTCACAGGCATGCTGTTCGAGGCCACCAGCTGCTCCTCCGGAGAAAGATGGGCAGTCTTCGCCCATGCAATTAATTGTTTCTGAAAACCCACCAGAGGGTCAGCTATGAGTTGATTCTGATTTCACGGTACACAACAACAACAACTAGCTTTTCTGACTTCTTCGTTACCAGTCAAGATGGCACTGGAAATTGTTTCACAAGTCTTGTTTTTCCTCTTTCATATGATATAAATTACATGACAGACTCGTCCTCGCTGTGTCTTCATTACTGTGTCTTAATCATGGCAGGCACGCTTGTACTTGGCATGTGGCAAAGAAGGATGTTATTTCTGTATTGTCTCCACTTGGACTTAGCCACTGACAGCTCTGCGGCTCCCTCTGGGTGCTGCCTCCATGGAAATGTCATGGTCTTCTGTGGGAGAAGATTCTGCTGTTTCTATTTCATGGCAGCTCTCTGGAAAGATGTGTGGACCCAAATAGTCTGTAGCAAATGGCATTACAATCAAGACTGGACTGTGGAGGAAACAATCTAAATGGGTCTGGTGGGTTGGAGCTGGTTGGTTTTAAATGGAGAAGAGTGTCCTTTTTCAGAAGGCGCATAAACTAGGTCTGAATATTTATATACTCTATTGACGTATCATTAACTTACAGCGGAACACACGGACTGTGTTATTTCATTCTGTGTGTGGATTGTTGAGTTGATGAATGCTGCCACTCACCCACATGCTCAACATACGGAGCTGTTTCTTCATTGAGAGGCCCCTTCCCTCTCAGTTCCAACCTTCTTGGCCCCACACCTGTCAGGAGGATGCAACTGCGCTTTCTTTCATAAGAACATAAATGAGATAATATAGAATATACTCTTCAGTGTCTGCTCTTTTGCTCAACAAAGTGTTACAGAGATTTTTCCATGTTGCATGTATCATTTCTTTGTTCTTGTAAAATATTGTGTAATATTCCATTGCACAGATCAGCTGTTTCTTTATCCATTTGCTTATTCATGGACATTGGAGCCTTGGTTGATATGAATTATAGTTGGAAATGTTTTAGTTGCTGTACTTCTTTGCCAATTTTTGGTCTTTATTTTGAATGTTATTCTGGTAGATGTATGTGGAAGGAAACAAGAAACCTTGATATAAGTTGTAGCAAGTATTTATTTTGCCTTTACCTTGGAATTAGGAAGTTCTGGGTGAGGAGTTGTGCAGCCAACCCCCAAACAAGCAGTTTGGTCCATCAGCTGCTCTGCAGGAGAAAGAAGGGCATTCTCCTCCCGTGCAGTTCACCACCTGAAACCCCCGGGAGAGTCAGCTGTGGGATGGCTCCTACTCATTGGCTGTGAGTTGATTGGTTGTGGTGTTTGTTTTTGGGTTCCCCCTCCAATGTTCTAGAATGAAGGAACCTTGGTAGCATAGTTGAGCTGCTAACTGGGAAGTCACGGGTTTGAATCCACCAGGTGCTCAATGGGGGAATCATGGGCAATATCTTCTGGTGAAGATTTACAGCCTTGGAAATGCAGTTGACTCCGCACATAGGTTTGGTGTTGCGTTTTGCTATAGAATGTATTAGGTCCTTTGCTAAACAAGTGTTTTCAGGCTATTGTTAAATGCTGCTGAGTAGATTTGGACCCACATTGGCCCCTTGTGATGGAGTGAACTGTTTCCATGGGGTATTTATTCTTAGCTGGAATCCTTCTAGATGCAGCTTGTCCAGTCGTCTGTGGAGTTGCTAGGTCTTTTGTTCACAGTGGAGTTTTTAGCCCCTGTACGAGCAACTCTCTGTTCTTCATCTCACACACTGGTGATGGAGGTTCAGGGAGTTCGGGTAATTTCCTCAGGGGTCCTGTGACAGATGGAGGAGGTAGAGCTGGAATCCACTTTTCTGATGGCAAATCCGTGCTCGCTACTCCTAGGACAGTGGTCCACAGGTGCGGTTCCCCAGGCCAGCGGCTTTAGTTTCACCTGTTTCTAACTTGTTAGGAATGGAGACACCTGGGCCCCATCTCAGCTCTGGAGGGTGGAATGAAATTAGGGGTCTGCCTTGACCAAGCCTTCAGGGTAAGCCGGGACTTGTTCAGCTTTGATACCTCTCTTCTGGAGAGTGGACTGGAGGTGTGAGTAATGCATTGAACGAGATGAGTGACCGGGGGTGAGAACACACAGCTCCTGCTGTCACCTCTGCAGGACACCTTTTTTGTGGGCCTTGGCTCTTTCTACCAAAGACATGTGGGTGTGCCTTGCCAAGTCTTTTTTCACTCCAGAAATTCTGTGAGTCCATGAATAACCCAGACAGCTAAGGTTTGAATTGGTGTGTGATTGTGGTTTCCGAAACTGCTGTATTATAGGTCATGCTTACATATTTTTGTGGGTGAATTTTGTGGTTTTACAAATTATGTAGAACCTAAAACTGACCCTCTGCTCTTTTTTTAGATAGGACGGAGACATTGAAGATGACAAAGAACCCATGGCTTCCCTCGCTTCCTCATG